AGTAAAAACATATCTTTCCAAACCAAGACATATAGAAGTAACTCTTTTTAACAACTGCATAGTATTCGTAAGTCTGGACAAACTGGTTGTTGAACCACTTTCTCATTGTTGGACAATGGACCCTTTCTAGCATTCCGTTGTTAGTGCTGTACTGAAAATCTTCATATTCATCTTTTTGTGCACATGTGTATTTCTGTAAAGTAGATACCGAGAAATGGTACTGTCAGGGCAGTAGATGATACATTTTAATGTTCAGTTTATACTGCCAAATTACAGTCCACCAACAACATATGAGAATGCCGGTTTGTCTGCATTCTCACCACTGAGTTTTTCATCCAGCATCATGGGTGACATAGTATCATGTTATCATTTTCATTGGTATTTCCCTAGTTTTTACCAGTGATTTTTACCATCTTATGTATTTATTAACCACTTTCTTTTTCTTTCAGACATTGCCTGTCTATATCTTAGGCCCACAGTCTGTTGTTTCCTCTTAATATAAATGATTTTTTTTAAGATTTTATTTTTAAGTAATCTGTACACCCAGTGTGGGATTCAAACATACAACCCCAAGGTCAAGAGTCGCAGACTCCACCGACTGAGCCAGCCAGGCACCCCTACGTGATCATTTTTAAGTTTATTTCTCTATCCACGTAATCTCTGCACCCAGCGTGGGGATCAAACTCACAACCCCTGAGATCAAGAGTCTTCTGACTCTGAGCCAGCCTAGTGCCCATAAATGATTTGTCTTTTTTTTTTAAATTCTGGATGTCAATCCTTGATTTGTTATATTATGTTGCAATCTCAGCCCATTGCTTGTCTTTAAATTTATGATGCCTTTTCTTATACAAAACTTTGAAATGTGTACTGTGATCAGATTTATCAGTTTCTTCCTGCTGCGTCTGCCTTCTGTGACTTAAGAAGGTGTTGCCTATCCCAAGGTGATAAGCCTTACTTTTCTGTGTCTCTCAGAATAACATTTTGGGGGGCTTAATCACACAGCTTTGTTTTCACGTAGAGAGGAGTTGCTCCCCCCTCCTGTAAGTTGACCTTCTCAGAGCAGGCCCCTCTGTCAGCTCTCTGCTGTGTTCCCCAGGGCAGGTGCATCTTTTGGATGCTGGTTCTGAAGCAGGTGCAGCCAACATCACACTGCACATTGGACTTCCTGGCACTATGCTGAAGTGGCAGAGAAGGCTGCCTTACTGTAGGCCTTGGTGACCACAGGCCTGAGCAAGCCAGTCCTCCCCTTAAACCAGGCAGAAGCTCTAGACTAAAAAGAGAATGCAAGAAGGAAGAGAGAAGGCTCACAGCTCTCTCTAGTCTTAGGTGGAAGAAGGAGCTTCTTGGATGAAGATGATGGAGACATTTTTCCGAATTTTCTACATGAGGTCAAAGCTCCGATTCCTTATCCTCAGGGGGTTACGTAACCCCCATTTTCCCTATAAGGAAAATGAGGCCGAGAAAAGCTAAATGTGTAGATTTAATTTTATGTTAAGACACCAACTCCAAGTTCTGCTTAGAATCCATCTTAGTATGATAGAAGGGAAGCTTTGGTGAGTTTCTCATCACTCACCAGACACTGTTTGTATGGTTCGTCCTTTGAAGGTAGTGCTTTCTCCCTGTTTTACAGATGAGAACACTGAGGCTCAAGAGAGAGAAGGTCATGTAATCAGGACACACAGAAGGTAAATAAGTAGAAGATCCAGAGCTGAGCCTCAGAGTTCATGCCTTCCTCCCGTTCCACTCTTTCAGAGGATTTGCAAAAAGTACACAAAGCTACCTGCATAAGAAAAGCACATTGTTTTTTCTCCCCTTTATCCAGCAACTCACTCTGCTGCTACTAGGGAGTTGTCTCCACCAAGTGGATGTTTTCATTTTTGCTCCTTTGAAATGGAAAATAAGGCACACACCATTTGGAAATCGCTTAACTTTTAAGGGACACCTTGAAGATTTCCTCCAATGGAATTCATTAATTTTAAAGTCCCTGTATTTTACTAATTGAAAATTTCACAGTTGAACAAGCTAGTGATTTCTGTTTATCTCCAGCTCCTATTCCTTTCAAAGCACTGCGTGAACTTCATCTAAGAATCATTTTCAACCAGGTGGTTTTTAGTACATGCCATCTATTTTTGTTAGTGGGAATGTTTCTTCCAAGAGAGTTAACTATAAATTATATGGCAGAGAACTTCTAAGTAAATATGTTCATGCCTCAGCACTTTAATGTGTTAATTAGCTATTAAAGGTGTCAGTAAATTAGACCTGTCAAAAATAATGGCCTCCTTGACTAGGTTTTTACTACCACTTCACTTGATGGTGTTACTTACAAGTTTTGCCCTCTGGGACTGTTAAAAAGCAAGGTTGTAGAGGTCAGCCTTGCAAAAGATAAACTCTTGAGTTTGTTGGAAGTCACCTAAGCCTGTGTCTGTGGGTGTTTTGAGGACTGGTAGCCCCGAATTTACACAACCCAGGCTTCCCAACACTGGGATTCCGTCTACAGCTGACAGCCAGGGGGTGCTTTATCCTGCGGAGAACCCCAATCCCTGTTCTTTGTTCCCTGTTTCAGAAAATGTAGCCAGTGATTGTGCTGGTCAGGTGCCTTCCTTTGTGCATGCAGCAAGTTAGCAGATTACTGCTGTTGTTGGAGGCTGGAGACAGGTAGCTTTCCCTCCGGGTCAGGGTTCCGGTTGGTACTGAGGAAGGACCCGAGCACATCAGAAACAGTATTTCTCCTCTCCTGCTTGTGCCAGTAGACCAGTCTTGCTGCAGGCCTGAGGGCTGAGACAGGAGAACAGAGTGAGAACCTCAGAAAGAAGTATTATGGGTAAACGGTTGAATAAAGTTTAAAGACTACTGGTATTTTCATATTAAGTCATATTAAGGATTGAATGCCCCAGCCTGAGATTCTTACCACCATTTACATCTGGGAAAACACATTCCGTGTTCTAAATGATCTGATTGTAGGATTTAGCCTTTTGCCAGGCTCCTGCTTTTTCTGTTCACCAAGCCTGTACGATTACTAAAGTAAATGCTAAAGTTTTCTAGGATAATTTTTTTATGCATATATTATAGAGGCTACCTCTCACACACGCTGTTTTGTCTGCTTAGTGACTGCAGTGAGTCAGCTAACAGACCTCCAAACCAGAGATTACAATAAATCTCTGAAAAAAATGAAACCGCACTATCCCAGGAGCTCTGGTGGTAAACGATGAGCCAGTTGTGTTTATCTTGATAGATGTTCTTTAATCTTACAAGGGACTAAGTAACAGCCTTCCTGTCTGTCTGTGCTTCTGCTTGCCCCCTGGGGTCTGGCTGGGGGACTGAGGGTTGAAATGTTTTAAAACACCTGGGTCAGGGGTGCCTGGGTGGCTCAGTCGTTAAGCGTCTGCCTTCAGCTCAGGTCATGATCCCAGGGTCCTGGGATCGAGTCCCACATCGGGCTCCCTGCTTGGCAGGAAGCCTGCTTCTCCCTCTCCCACTCCCCCTGCTTGTGTTCCCTCTCTCGCTGTCTGTCTCTGTCAAATAAATAAAATCTTTAAAATAAATAAATAAATAAATAAATAAAAATAAAAAACCTGGGTCAGTCTTTGGCAGCAGAGACCCAGATAGCCCTGCAGCATGATTATTGCTACCAAAATAAGCCTCCTTTATCCTGTTGTACTAATAATAAATTTGTTTTGCTGTTTTTGATAGCCTTACAACCAGTAGAACTGCTTTGTCCCTGGAAGTAGTTCACGTTATAAAATAGATCATTGTCATTGCTGTCTACATTCGTGGAGGCCTAGATTTGTTGCAGTTAAACAGAGCATCTTCTGTGTACTCTTCAGACTGGATCCTAGCAATAGGATTGAAACTTAAAATTTCATTTCAAAGGAACATGGGCTGGAGGCGACCTGTCAGCATCATTTCTTGAATTTATAATTACTGGAGTCTTAGAATTGTTATTTATTGTAGACTTTGCCAGAACACTAACAGTAAATGACTCGCTGTATTTATGAGTTTTTTCAAATTAGAAAATTTAGTTCCATACATAAGCCCGATGTACACTCATGTTCATTTACCCCACAAATGTTTACTTATGCCTGGTATATGCCATCACTATTTCAGATTGAAATATGGCACTGTTTCAGGCTGAAATGAAAATGACCTTATGTGCTTAAAATTTATGGGTTTAAATTCTATTGCTTTAGAATTTGTTAGTGTCTGGACAAAAGCCACGTCAAAGTTTACCCCCACCTTGGCTCTGCAAATAAGAATAGGTAGTTAAGAAAATGGGTGGGGTCAGAAGATGATCAGACAACCCAATCGAATGAGGTTTTTGGGGGCTTGGAAAGCATCCATTTATATGTACACAGTTAATTTCATAACAATGGAATATTCCTTTAGTAAACATCCCTCCTTTTCTAAACCCAGTTTTTCTCTGTGTGCCCTGAAAATAATGAAATGTCATCAAAATACTTCCTGATTTAGACTCATCATGGTTTATCGCGGGATTCCAATTGGTCTCATTTATAAGCTTTCACTAATATCGGAATGCTGTGCTGCCCAATTATAAATTTTATAATGTCAAAACCATTAAAACATCCATTTAAAAGGTCCAACGTGCAAAGGAGTAGGAGGGTTGAGATAGTGGCAGACGATGTTTCTTACGGAGGATTTTGTAGTCAGAACTGGGTGGAATCCGTTTCAGTCTCTTACTGACTCATCTCTGGTGTATCCTAGAACCTCTGCTGCTTCTGTGTCCTTAACCGTGAATGTGGGAAGACCAACGCTGGGGGGATCTGTCCTGAGGATTATGCACACGCCGATCTTAGAAGTGTGTGACATAGAACAGGCAGGCAGTCCGTATAGACGAATTTGCTTTCCTTGCTTGCTTGTCTTACGATGATGGTTATTTTCTCAGAAAACAGGAGCGATCATTCAGAAGGACAGTGGAAAATGGGGATTTCTCCCTGGATAGCCACATGTTTTCTGTTAATGTAGATGACCTATTCTAATTGCAGGTTATATCCAGGCATGTAGAGGACTTATGATTGCTGCTGTCAGTCTGGGCTTTTTTGGTTCCATATTTGCCCTGTTTGGAATGAAGTGTACCAAAGTCGGAGGCTCAGATAAAGCCAAAGCTAAAATTGCTTGTTTGGCTGGGATTGTATTCATACTGTCAGGTAAATAGTAACTTTCTCCCAAACAAGGTACTTCACGATGTTAATGAAAGGACACTAACCATGATACTTTTTCCTTCTGATACTTTGTAGGGTTGTGCTCAATGACCGGTTGTTCCCTGTATGCAAACAAAATCACAACGGAATTCTTTGATCCTCTCTATGTTGAGCAGAAGTAAGTACTCTTCTCAGTCTGTCTGTTTCTAGCTTACAGGAAATGTATGCAGATTAATCTTCCAAATTAAGATACATAAATTCCTTACACGGCGCACGAAAGTGAGACATGCTGATCGATAGTATTTGATGACATCATTTCAAGAGTAAACATATTCTGTTCTGCATTGGCAAAAGATGCATTTAGTTACTGCATTGGTGTCACATAGCGTCTTGTCTCTAAAAAGCTCAAGGCACAGGATTTAAAATTCTAAACTTCGTCCACTGGACATCATTCAGTTCGGGTCAAGTAGAGGAAAAGTGGAAGTGAGGTGTGGGGCGGGGAGGAAAGAGTGATGATGTGTGATAACAGGAAATGAAGGGCTGGTCTTGACTGATGTCCATCCAGATTGATATTTGTCAGCTTCTGGTATGTGGGCCAGAGTCCGTCATGGTTTCAAACACTGACATGGGAACTGCGACCATGCTCCTGAAGATTAGAGATCTGTTAATGACATCTCAATGAAGTATCAGTTTTTTCATTTTTAGTTAGCCTTTGAAATTAGCTCCTTGACAAGCTCCACCTGATAAACCTTTATTAAAAAAAAAAAACTGTACATGATGCAGGGTTTTTAAAAAATGCTTCTGTAGTGACATGGACACCACCCAGATGTGACCAGTCCGGGTTGCAGGGGAATGGTTCGGCATTTACAGGTCAGTCTGTTGGAGGTGTTTGTTTTTTTAACTATGGGCTATTGGTTTTTATACTTTCCCTAGGCTTCTTTCTTTGCCTTGGGAAAACCTCAGGGATACCAAATTAGAAATAATAATATATGCGGTATTTTGTCTTCCACGAGAATATACCCACCTACTTCTGTAGAAGCCACATCTGTATGCATGTGGATAGTTAGCAGCTGGTGCTCTTTCAGTCTTCAGGTCAAGTGTTACAGAATTTTTTTAAAAAGTTACTAAAATTACTGGTTAGGTGTGCATTCCTTTTTTTTCTGGTGGATTTAAGAATCTTCAGGGAATTGATTTTTTAGTTCTGTCTTTAGTGTCTTTTATTCATAAATATTAGATGCTTATATAATGAAATAAATGAAAATAGTAGCTAAGACATGTTGAGCCCCTACCATGGACAAAGGGGAGCATGGCAAATATTCTTTTATTTTATTTTATTCTTGCAATAGCCTGATAAAGTAGGTTCTCTTGGTACAACCTTTTTGAAAGTGAATGTGTGCAATTAAAGTGTGCAAGGGAACCTGGACTAAACCAGTATTGTCTGATTGGACTGGGAGCCAAACGAGGCATGCTTGCTCTATGATGCATGATTTACAATACTCGATTTCATAATTTTTGTGATCGTACGCTATATATATTTTTCATCACGGGAGTTTCTTTTGTATGTTTTTAAAAACTATTTTAAATTTTATTAAATGGGAGGCAAAAATAACTGTTTTAGACCCCAGTATAATTTTTACTCCCCTGCCTATGTTGGAAAAATGTGTTCTGATTTATAAATTTTCTCCTAACTAATGTTTGATGATGAGATTTGCACAAGTGTACATGACACTGGACATTGAGATGAAAACTGAGACCATGCTCCTGAAGATAGGAAGCATGTTAATGCTATTTAAATGAAATATAATTTTCCGTAAATGACATATTTTTATTTCGGATCCTAAATATACAATGAAACTGTTATTTCTCATGGTTTATTTTATTCAAGACATTGCTCACTTTTCTGGATTATCTGTTCTACATTGCTGTCTTTATTTTCCTGACAATTATTAAGGATGTCTTTGTCAGAATCTTAAAAATCATTTTTATCTTTCCTCAAAAGGTCAAGGCTAATTCATATATGCCCCATAACTCAAGTCTATCCTTTGTGTGATTTTTTTTTTTTTTCACTGCTTGCTATATGCTCAGTCACCTAATTCAGTTTGGTGCATTGGAATTTCTGGTTTTCTTTTAGATTTTGATTAAACTTAGTTCAGTGACTATGGACTCAGAGGTTTTCCTCATTTCCATATTGTTGGTGCAACATTGAACTATCCCATTCCCCCTAATGACCTGTCGGCATTCTTCTCTCTCCCTGTGCATGCTCTGTCTGTCTACAAGCTCATCTGTAAAATCAGGATGATAATGGCACTCTGCTGGTAGAGTTAATGTGGGAATTCGGAGAGTGTGTGTGTGTGTGTGTGTGTATATATATATATATATATGTATGCTTAGAACTGATTGGAAAAGAGGAAACACTGTGTTCCCTATTACTGATTTGTGTTAGCTTTATTAAGATTCCTTTTTAAATTGTGTGTAGTAGTTAAGACGTGGCTTATCTTTATAGATGTTTTTATTAGCTCTTTTCTGAAGTGACTTAAAAATGTAACACCTGCAATTTGGCAATTTACCTTATGTAATTAAAAACACAAGAGCGAGGCGCTTTTTGAAAAACAACAGGGCTTATAAATCGGCGGTATTTACAAATAACAGGCCCTTCACACAACACACTGAGAGGAAATACAAACTTTATTAATTAAAACTGCTGCATGTTGAGAACACGTTAGCTCCTTGCGATAAGAGCTCACTCACATCTGCATCCCCAGCAGTGCCTTGCACAAAGGCCTACAGTCCGTTTGGATGAAGGAAATATCAAGGCCTGAGAGTTGTAAATATGATCAGATTCTAATTACCCATCATGGTAGAAAAGAGGCATGAAAGGGGCAGGTGACCTCTTCAGGAATTCACAGGCTTCCTTGAACAAGCTCACTTCTCTAAAAGCCAGCAAATCAACTCACTTGGATTCATCTTTTATCAACAGCTTTAGTAGCGAACAGAGAGCTGAAAATTAGAAAGATTAAGAAGGTAGAAATTGGGGGCGCCTGGGTGGCTCAGTCGGTGAAGTGTCTGCCTTCGGCTCAGGTCGCGACCCCGGGGTCCTGGGATCAAGCCCCCGCATCGGGCTCCCTGCTCAGCGGGGAGCCTGCTTCTCCCTCTGCCTGCTGCTTCCCCTGCATGTGCTCTCTCTCTCTCTCTCTGTCAAATAAATAAATAAATAAAATCTTAACAAAGAAAAATAGAAGCTAGAAACTGGCTATTCGCACAAAATGAACAGATTCATAGGTCTTAAAGTAGACTCTTTAAAGCAAGATTTTGATTTGGCCTCAGCTGGCGTTGGCTAGAATTTAGCCACGGTGCCGGTGACTTGGTTTGTGCATGAACTTAGGGATGTGTTGGAGAATCAAGGCTAAACGCAGGGCAGCCCTAGGTGGGCTGGGATTTGGAGGGTACAGCTGCAGGAAGGTTCTAACTTTCTTTGGTGAGAGTAAGCTCCTTGAGGTCGGAAAACATGTATTCCCTCCCTGTCTAGCCCTGTGCCTGGTAAGTGAAATTCTTAATCTGTAGAGCTGGTTGGGAGGTTAGGATTAGCAGGAAAGCTTCTGTTGTCTCAGCCCACGGGAGAGAGGAGAGAGGAGAGAAAGAAGGCACATTCACTTTTCCCATCTTTATCCCATATCCCTCTTCCTAAAAGCAGCTACCACCAAGTGACCTTTCTCCCTGCAGCCCTAGAAGGCGTGACTGAGGCACAGGTAGGTGCGTGTGCGTTTGGCCTTTTGGAAGGCAGTGAAGACGGCTGCTTGCCACGGGCTCTAGTTGACATCTTGGGTGAGCAAATCGTAGCTGCCCCATACCCGAGCCCTAAAATGCCCTGGAAAACAGTCCGGGCTCAGAACCTAGTTTTGTTGTTGTTATTGTTTTTCTTAAGATTCTGTGCTCTATTAATTGAGTCTTCTCTGTGGATTTCTGGGACATTCCTAGGTAGGGCCCCACCTTGGTGGCCTAAGTTAGAAACACACGACTAAGCTCGTCATCAAAGTTCCTACTCCACTCCTACTATGTGCAGAGAACTCAGTAGGCACTTTACTGATGAGAGAAAACAAGGGGCTTCTGGTGTAGCTGGAGGAAAGATCGAGGCCATCGCCGTGCAAACAGCATCCTGCTGTCTGCTCAGTGGCTCTGTACTCTGAAACCCTTCCTCTCCCTCCACCTATTTGGGAAGTTCTTTCTCCCAGGCTACTGTCACTTGACACAATTGCAGTTCTTTTCAAGAGTTACATCTGACTGTGGTCATGTTCTACCATTTCCCCATTTTTTTCGCTTTTGTTTTGCTTCTTTCCTTTCATGCAAGTTGTGATTATGTTTCATGACTGCAGCCTGGGCTCCTGCAAAGCTTTGGAAACGATTTCCCAACTCTTCCCTTTGGGCTGTTCAAACCAACTTCATCCATTTTATTAAAATAAAACCTCCCAAATCCAAAAAGAAAAGTACCTTCCTGCAAGCTTATGGTAACCGGTACCCCCCCGCAGCATGATTCATCCAACCAGGGAGATGAAATTTAATTCAGGTATTCCCACCACCACTTGGTTGTCCAAACCACAAACTTCCTAGAGGTCTTGATTTGTTTTCTTAAATAAACTGTTCCAAGTAAGAATTTATTGACACAAAGAAACTTCTTTCCAAATCCGTGCAAGGTTGGAGCATTGAACCAATTGCCCTAATTGAGGAAACAGGGTGTTGTAATCTTAGATTTATTCTCTTTTAGTATAGAGATTTATTGTTAATATTTTGGCTCAGATATTCTCACATTTGGGCTTTATCCTCCAGGCTTTTCTGTTATTCTCAGAGTATTTCAAAACCAGAGACGTATTTATCTCTAGCACTCATTCCTGACATACGTTTATTTCCTGCTCTAGGATTTAAGCTTTACTCGGGTAAAGTCTTTTCACCATTGTGGTTATTTAGTAGTTAGAAATACACGGCTGTCTATTCTCTGATAAATTCTCTCCTTCTTGTTATCTGTCTAGTTCAACAAACAATGGATAATTCAAGGAGTACCCTTCTAAACTACACATTTTCCTGGGTGAAATTCAAAGGAATATCGATCTCACTATGTGACCTTGCCATGATATTTGACCTCTCTCTTTTGTCCTTATTATAATTTAATGAATTATGGATGTTTGT